CAGTGACCCCATTACTTTCGCAGTGGACGTATCAAGCGATGGTTCACGAGCTAATAGGGATCCAAAATGGTCGAGTGGATCTGAGTCTCGTCCCAGATATTAGACCGAACTTTCGGTTGGTTCATTCTTCTGTAATGCATGCCTTTCAGCTAATTGACGTTTACAGGAAATCACGCTCACGCCCTCAACTGATCCGTTCTTCCAAGCTCACCATTTAGAGACATTCGGGGACCTTGGTACCTCGTTGAAGGACTACGTGCAATCATACCAATCTCGATCTCTGGCACACTCTCCGTCTGCGATAAATTCGATCTCCGATATGAAGCGTTTCGTCGAGGAGTATCCCGAGTTTCGCAAGTTGAGCGGTAATGTGAGCAAGCACGTTGCTTTGGTCGGAGAGCTTAGTCGGCTGGTTAGCAAGCACAAGCTTCTCGAAGTAGGGGAAATTGAGCAAGGGCTTGCTACAAGTTCTGGAGCTAATTACCAGGTTTGGAGATTCCTCTTGAATCGTGCCTTCATCGACTAATACGGGGTGCAGGACGTACAAAATATAATCAAAGATAGCGCTGTTTCTACAACGCACAAGCTTCGACTTGTTATCTTATATGCCCTACGGTATCAGAAGACACAGGCGACAAACATTGCCAATCTGATAAATCTCCTACTCGCAAATGGAGTTTCTCGAGAAGACGCTAGAGTGAATATTTGTTTCTTGTTGTGTCTCGCTTGGTCTCCTAATTCTTTGCAGTTAGTGTATGTCTCCTTGAACATTTCTGGTGCAGATCAGCGACAAGACGATCTGTTCTCAACCGAATCTCTTCTCGCAAAGGGAAGATCCGCTTTAAAGGGTCTAAAGGTGTGTGCTGTCATCTAGTATTTCTTCGCTCGTAGCTCATATATTCTTTAGGGCGTTGAAAATGTCTACACCCAACATACCCCTCATCTTTCTCAAACTCTGGAGAATATCTTCAAAGGACGATTAAGAGATACTAGCTACCCTTTCCTCGAGAACCCTGGTGCCAATGCTACGCTGCAACGGTAAATTGTTGTCAAATTTCCTAATTAACGACCTCTCGCTAATGTGTTCCTTGTAGACCTCAAGATATCATCATTTTCGTAATAGGTGGGACTACTTACGAGGAAGCGAAAGCTGTAGCGCAGCTCAACCAACAACAATCCGCACCAGCGTCTGGTACAACTCCTTCGTTAGGTGCTGGTACCCGACTGTTGCTTGGTGGAACATGTGTCCACAACTCGACCACGTACGTTTGCTTGGCCCAGTTTCATTGTCATTTTCTCAGCTTATACACAGATACCTCGAGATGATTCGTACCGCTGCGGAAAACTTCCCAGCCTCAGTGTACGAACCTCCCCCAGAATCTGCGTCAAATGCGCCCGTGCTCAATCTCAACCTTGGTGGAGTGAATGTCAGTCTTGGAGGAGCTGCTCCCGGTGTATATCGGACGAGCAGTGAGGGTGTCGGTGTTCAAGCAGACGGAATCAGAGATGGCGTGAGGAATCTGTTCGGAAAGGTGAGGCAGGGTGTGGATCGGATAGCTACTTCATAGGGTTTTGTCTATCTTGGTATCTATCTTGTACAGTATAATGTACCTTCGGTTTTTATAGGCCATAATAGCTGGAGCGACGCGAACTGAGAAGTATGAAATCAGCATGTAATTAATGCTCAAGATCGCTGTACAACAATTGATAGACGCAAAATCAGATATCACAGTTGAATGCAAACTGAAAGCCAAGAGTCTGTGCAACTTTCCTTTCTTCCAGCCTCCTCTGAACTTCCTTTCTTACCTCATCCTCCAACCTGTTCAAAATCTGCACAACATCCTTGATAACGTCAGTTGTAATTGTCCACACAGCATCTCTTGCGTCTGGTAGACTGGAGCAAAAGACACCTAGGTGTGGCCAATGACGGTATTTAGCATGTTCGAGTGCCTTGTGTCGGGAAGTGGCAGAAGTTTCGAGGGCGGCGATGCGGCTAGAGAGCTGTTCAGCGAGTATAATAGTGAATAAAACATGAATGAATAAGAAGAGTAAAGTAGAAAGACCAAGGCAAAAACTCACGTACATCTGAGATGACATCCCTCGAAATTTCATTCCAGGTCTAGGATTTTTTGCTGCTTGTCCTTGAAATGTTGTAGATGCTGGGAAAGCCTCAGTAAAGCTTCAACTCCAGACATATCTGGCCCAGTTTTACTGGTGGCCGGAAATTATCAAAGGATGTGACTAGCGCCTCATCTCAATGCTTTCCTGGCATATCGAGACCAGGCTCTTGTTCAGCCCTACCCAATTCCGCATGAACTTCGTCCAACCTGACTCCGTCACTCCGGCTCAGGAAAAGGGTATGATATTGGCATCGAAGTTCTTCGATCCTCGACTGTACCTGTGCGATTAGTATTGCGTATAAATCGTCTGAAATAGTACAGAGTTTTTGCAAGAGATCGTTCTATATTTTTTCACTTGCAAGGAGTCTAACGGTGGAGCGGGCCTAAATTACTAAAGCGTTCTAGGATGTTTTTCTGTTGAGTCTTTATATTTTTGGGATTTCCGGAGTTTGTCGAGAGTTATAGAGGCTTCAAGGAGGTGTGCAGAAGGGAAACTATTTTTTTCTATGATAGATATGGCGAGTAAGACCAGGGAAAGCATTGCATTTTGCATTGTGCGCTCTGGAGAAATGACTTCGCGTTGCAGGCGTGTCAAGCGCTCACGCGTGCGAAACAATCAGCCCTTCGACACGGAAAATAGCGCGTAGCTCCGCGGGGAAACCTCACCGCGAAGTTCCACGTCGACAGTCGTCACGCGGATCTACTCTTATTCCACACTCTACTCTCTTCTTGTTTCTCTCTCTCTTGTGCTTTGGCTTTCTAGCGTCCTCTTTGGCCTGCGGTTTAGGAATACAGGAAACAAATAATGGCAAAGGGTTTTCTCGCCAACTTCAAAGGCGTTGACGCCTTCGGCAAGGTAACGGTCACATTTCGCTTCGATTGCTTGCTGCAATTATTAGCTTTTATTCTTAAATTCGAGAGAGAACGTGGAAAGATTAATATGCTCTTGTTTGCAGACTACAGACGATGTCAAAGTCAAGACTCGCACAGGCGCTCTCCGTATGTGAAACCGTTGCTTGCTCAAGCAAGTTATTTATCCCTTCGCAGTAACCCTGGTATCTTTTGCGATTATATTGTCATTTACCTTTATGGAATTCGTGGACTATCGAAGAATATACACCGATACCTCCCTTGTCGTCGACAGAAGCAGAGGAGAGAAGCTAACAGTGCGGCTGAATGTTACGTTCCCAAGAGTTCCTTGCTACCGTGAGTCGCGAATAATATCTTTCTACGTTCTTTCTTGCTCACCAGACTTGTTCTCTCAGTACTAAGCTTGGACATCATGGACATCTCCGGCGAGACCCAGCGCGACATAACCCACAACATCCTCAAGACGCGTGTAGAACCCAGTGGTAAATTCATCAGGGGCTCCAGGACCACGGATTTGAAAAACGACGTGGAAAAGTACTCAGAAGCGCAGGACCCCACTTATTGTGGGTCGTGTTACGGTGGAAAACCACCGAGGGAAGACGGATGTTGTAATACGTGTGAGGAGGTTCGGACAGCGTACACGAACAAGGGATGGAGTTTTACGAACCCGGATCGTATTGAGCAGGTTCGCGTTTTGTTTTGTTCACCCAATACTGAGTACTCATCGTGTTGAAGTGCAAGAGCGAAGGCTGGTCTGATAAACTAAAAGAGCAAGCCAATGAAGGGTGTAACATTTCTGGGCGACTCCGAGTTAACAAGGTCATTGGTAACATTCATCTCTCGCCTGGAAGGTCTTTCCAGAGCAGCGCCAGGAATATCTACGAACTCGTTCCTTACCTTCGCGATGATGGAAATAAACACGACTTTTCTCATACGATCCACAAGTTTGCGTTTGAAGGTACGCTCTCTCTCTCCTCTCGGCGTGACTCTAATCATTTACGATTCTTTCTTTTTAGGTGACGACGAGTATGATTACCGTAAAGCCAAGGTCGGACGTGAAATGAAGGAACGTCTTGGGTTGACTACCAACCCATTGGATAATACGGAGCATAAAGTAAGCTATCTCTTCACAGGCATCTCAACTCACTACTGACACAAACGTCCTAGACCTCCAAAGCTTCGTACATGTTCCAATATTTCCTAAAAGTCGTGTCAACGCAGTTTAGATCGCTGGATAATAAGATTGTATGTTTTCTTTCTAGTGCTGGTAGTCTTTTGGGCTCCTTTTGATGCTGTATATGTGTATAGATCAACTCTCATCAGTACAGCGTGACGCACTTTGAGCGGGACCTTGCAGAAGGAGGCCAAGGTGATACTCCACAGGGTGTGCATTTGCAACATGGGGTCTCCGGAATGCCGGGTATGTTTGTCTTTCATTACGAGTGCGTAGTGAGCCTTCTGACCTTTTATTATCCAGGTGCCTTCTTCAACTTTGAAATTTCGCCCATTCTGGTCGTGCACACTGATACGAGACAGTCTTTTGCGCACTTTGTTACCTCGTGAGTTTTTCTTTGCTCTTCTCGTCTTCAGGTTTCGTTTAGCTAACTACGCAACCTAAACAGAACATGTGCCATCGTCGGAGGTGTCCTCACCGTCGCCTCGCTTCTTGATAGTGTGCTATTTGCGACTACGCGTGTGCTGAAGAAGCAGGTTGCCGGCAGTGGAAGTGCAAGTGCAGGATATGGAGCTGTTGGGGGAGGGAAGCTTATGTAAAATACTACCGACGAGAGTTAGTATTGCTGTATGATTCTACCTGCCGGGGATGGAGAATGGTATTTATGATGTTTCTAATCTTGTGACTGAAGTGGGGGAGGTCTTCTTATTTTGAGAAAGAAGAAATCCCTGAAAGCTAACGCGCGGCCATATGAAGAGTAAAGTTCAACGTACGATGGAATGAGAAGAGTAAGCACTTTCGCATATTGGGAATAGCAACTTGGTAACAGCGCATATGGTGAGATGGCCGAGTGGTCTAAGGCGCTAGATTTAGGTATCCAGATTTTTCATCTATCTCTAGTCATTCGTGGCGTGGGTTCAAATCCCACTCTCATCATAGATTGAGTATCGTGAATATGTTTTTTTTTTGTTTGGTTGCTGGATTGCGAATGCTCGCCGTGTAGTTTTTCTTGAGGGAGAACAAGTCGAAGGTCAGAATATGATGGAATAATCGCAAATAGGTACTATGTATATACAGTGATACAATGAATCATGATACATGGTTTTTTTACAGATACTTTGAATTGACGAAGGGTAAGTATTGGGCAATCAACGTTTTTAACCCTATTCTTACTTACTAGTATATCCCTCCTTGCTTCAACCAAGACCCACCTCCCGCGCACCTCCCTCACAACCCAACTTCGCGTCTTTCCTCCCATATATATCATATCCGCTCTACCTCACGAAACAACACAATTCCCATCGGGACCAAATTCTGGAGGCATGGGGCCCATGATGGATTCGGGCGGGGCGCCGTAGTTTTGCATCTGTTTGGAAGTAAAGGAAAAAGACGATAGGTGAGCGGAGGGAGGATGGGAGGAACGAGGTCCGAGGAGCGAATTACGAAGAAAGAAGGACGAAGAAACGGGAAGAAACAACTATGAGAGAGGCATATTGACAATGACGCAGAATGCGATCGATGCAGTCTGGGATCCCACCAAAGACAACGCATTTCGCGCGCAACATAACTCAACGGTATTACTCACCTCACCCATTCAGCTCGGCGATCTTGGCCCCAATCGCTTTATCATTCTCATCATACCCCGGGTCTTCAAAGATCTTGATGATCTCCCTCACGTATTGGTATTGCTTTTCGTACCTGGTCTTATCGGCGGGAGCGAGGTCTGCGGGAGGGTTTTGGAGGTAGGAGGGGAACTGGGTAAGGAGGGAGGAAACGTTAGTCAAGGTCGAGAGGGTAATGCGAAGGGCCTAACACACCTTATCATTCAACTCCTTTAACGGCTCGTACAACACCTCTTTGCCCATTAGGGAACCCATCATATTCTCGAGGAAGCCTGCGAGCTCGGCATCGTCCTCTGGTCCATCGCCAGCTCCAAAGTCATCCAAACCGAGATCTTTTAAGGAATTGAGCAGTCCTTGTAGTGATTCTGGGCCGGCGGAGGTAGATGATGATGAAGCCTGTGCGTAAAGATTAGATTAAAGATGACGCGTAAGTTGGATGGCGGGCACCTGTAGATTATCCTCGCTCTCCTTGAGCTTATCCATCGTTTGCTTGATCTTACTCTGAAAGTCGCTCGTCGCCGCAGACGCACTGGCCGTCGTCGCTGGAGGCACATCACTAGGCGCCATGCCATCCATACCCTCAATCAGCATGGCCTCCCAAGCAGCTTTCATTAACCTTTCCGTCTCCTTTTGTTTGATCTGTTCTTCTGTCAAGCCTGCTGTGTCTTGCTCCGAGTCGGCAGCACTAGCATCTGGTCCGTTCCCAACAGCTAATTCTCGCATGAGATCCTGCATATTCTCTACCAAGGCCTTTGTGAATTCATCCGACAAGGCACTTTCGTATTCTGCATTCTCATCGGGAGCAGCAGCCAAGGACGAAGAAGGTACAGTTCCAGAACCAGGTATAGAGATGGGCTTGGAGTCGACACGAGTGTTAGTTCGTGGTCGGCCGAAGGATGTGGTAGTTGTTGCGGTTGGAGGCGGGGCTGGAGGTGAGGTTAGTGGCGATAGTGGCGAGGCGCCTTTGGTTTTCGGTGCGAATTCGGATAGGACATCTATTAGAATACAAGGTAAAAGTTGCAAGTTGGATAGTATGAGATGGAGCAAGAATTACTTGCCATCGAGATCATCCAAATTATCATCTGCGTCGATCTGGAGATTATGCGGTGTAGATTGGGACATGGTAAGAGTTGGAGAAAGAGAAGAATATGTGTGGCGATGACAGGAAGAAAGCGCGTGAAAACGCGTTCAGTCGGGACTCGGCCATCTGATCAAGCTCGTGACAAGATTTCGTGGCGGATGATTGATCGTAGGTCGAATTCTGAAGCTCCTCCACTAGATTGACGTTGATTAATGATTCACGAAGTACTTGAAATCCGACTCCGTCGTTTACCAAAAACAAGTCATGAACCGCCAAGTTAACACCTCATGACCGACATGGGGATCGACATATTTAATGAAAACCCTCTGGTGTTACTCTCTGCTTCTACCCATCTTCAGACGCTTGGACATCATTCCGAGTCATACCCCTAACGTTCGGCTCTTCCTCTTTTTCTCTTGAATAACGAACTTGAAGACTATTCCCTCCGCTAAGAGTCACAATCGAGCACACCTTGGATCTTCAGCCATCAAGAAGACACGCGGATGACAATGCGACTCTTTGGCTCGGGTTTAGCTGAGAGACCGTGTATCAATGGCACTAAATATAGCGATTACGAGGACTCGGATCTGTTCAGGAGAAAGAGAAAAGTGCATGCAGTGGAAGCTGGATGAGATGCGGAATTCCGAACAAGCTCGAATAAATCAAAATGAGATTTATAGAACGACTCTGTACTACCAGTATGACTGCGGAGTCTGGACGAATCCCATAGCGTCGGGAGCCGACCTACTTCATATCCTCATCCCGAGTCTATTCCGCTCAACCATCACTCAACCGCAATTATCGAAAAAGTCGCAAAAACCTACATAATTAACGTAGCCTACGAACCCGTCATGATTCGTGAGCGTTCAACACCCGTGGGCCTTGTCATCCTTATTTGCTTGGTTCTTGCCAGGGTAACGAATCCCGAGTCCCAATACTCTCTGTCGCCCTTGGGCTCAATTGATAGCATTCTCAACACTATCGATAACGCTCAATACCCGTCTCCGTCTCGCCTCGTCTGTACTTGGATCGATTTCGAGATTGGTGAGGATTGGTGTTCGATTGGAGTGTGCCGTCGGGTCCCATCTGTCTGCAGCTAATAGTCGAGGCATCGGTGTCAGTTGGCTCGGCGCTTGAGAATAGGGTAGGTCGAAGTTGGAAGGGGATAGATGGACAGGATTGGAGCGGTCGAGGGAAGAAGGAAGCGGCTTCCATTGGGAAGATTGCGGTTCGGATGGTGATATTGGTCCTCCGGGTTGAAGCGTTTTTGGCCTCGATGAGGGTTTATGTCGCGGTAGGTTTTTTCTATTATTTGCTGTAAGAGTTTTATTTCGTCTTGTCTGGTAGTACAATACTCGTTCTTACCGGTTGTCCGTTTACTTCAGGTTCCGCTTCTTCCGCTGGCAAGGACGAATCTTTAGTCTCATCCGAGAAACATCGGGTGCAGGTATTCAACTTTGGTATTGCGCAGGTCCAGATTTGCGTCTTAATTCGTTTCTCTTATTTTTTTCGGGGTAGTTTAAACGCCTTGCATCACAACTCCTTAACCTTTACAACTCCTTAATCTTTCTTCTTCTGTTAACTCGTTTATTTCCTCAGACTGAGTGTTTCAGTCTTTCGCGACTAATCGCCAGCCTCTTGCTGGCACTACTATCGATTTGAAGTTAATTTATCTGAATTCCGGATCTCCGATTGTAGGCCTAGGTGCATTCTGATTAAAGTTTTGTTCATATGGCCCAACTCAAAAGCTGAGAATATACTCCAGTCTCACGTGCCGGGAAGATGTCAGGACTCGTTGATACGTTGATACGTCGCACGATAACTCACACCTCCATGTCCTCCCAGTTCTCATGGAACTCTCCAGCTCTCGACAAGCAAGAGTTCATCGCACTGATCTGTTTACTCTCCCTGAAGGCGCGGTCGTCAGCTTGAACCACCTGGTCCAAACTCCTTCCATCGTCTTAAAGAAGACGCAGGAGTGCAAGGTGACGACTCGGATGATGAATCGGATACAGAAGACACAAGCTCAGTGTTATCCGAGGACACAGCGCATCCACAACAAATATCACACTCTGGGCGCGCAGCGCTCAAAAGGCGTTTCTTGGATCGCTTCGCTGAGGTCCTCTCGAATCAGAAAGGTGCTCACCACGTTACCTGTGCCGTAATGCAGGAGTATGAAGACCATGTCATTGTGCGAGTTGCACGAAACGAAGGCTTTGGAAAAGCTGATCGTGTTTTCTTAGCGGTCTTTCGAGAAAATAATGGCTCTCATTGCTGCAATGGAACCGAGAACAGGCAGTGCTGATGCTGGTAAGGTCACTTTTGGGCGTAATCTCACCTCACTTCTTATAAAGTTATCCGTAGATCCAGGAGCAGATCTATGGACTCTGCTAATAAGATATGATGAGCCTCGGTTACAATACTATGCAGAAACAGATTGGTGCTATTGGGGCCCAACTCCGCCGCTCACTCCCACCCTCGCACCAACTCAGGGCCTGCATCTTTGCGCTGTTTGAAGCACTCGACCAAAATGATCTGGGAGATGCTTCGCGACTCTCTTTGCAGCTTTATTCCTCCCCAGAGAGCAGATCGAGCCTTGATGAATATCTTGGAAGAGATGCATCCAAGTTCATGAAACATGTTAATCTTCTAGCGCGCGTAGCTCGGGCACAAGTGACATTCTTAGAGATAGTGCATGAATTGCCTAGTTTCTCCCGGATCGAGGTCATTTGTGTCCACAAGCAGCGCAATGACAATAAAAGAAAGGCTCACACTCCATTCAACCTATCCAAAATCTTCCGCCTGCTCCAGCAGCCCCTAACCGAGCAGACATGTCGGCAGTTTGTCAATCCTAAGTTAAATATAGCCAGGATTGAGGAGGATTTTATTGTGCGCCAGAAACAAGGTCTCCATGTCCATGCTGAAGTCCAGATTATTCAGCATCTTGCACAGGCACGGATTGCCATTGATTCGGCAGACATCTTTCCATATATTGGGTGCAGCAAGCTTAGCTGCTATATGTGCCAATTATTTCTTGATGCCTACTCTTCATTCAAGATAAGAGGGTGTCATGGAAAGCTTTACAACCAGTGGATTATACCTGACATGGTCAACATCCATCCTGATACTGCTGAAAAGCTCAGGCAGACAGTAGAGATGCTCCAACAGCATTTGCTAGTGGAGTTAGGAAAGCCACTACTCTGGTCATATGGACCACATGCCTGAGTCAACCACAGGAACAACCATCTCCAGTATTTCTGGGGACTGTGATTACCATCCTGATGTTGCATCTGCATGGTCTAGGTTTCTGCAATCTCGAGACCATTCTCTGGCACTGCAGAAACATGTCATGCAAGTTTAAATAATCTATGGTCTGTGAATTTATGTCTTTCAGTGTATGGCTAATGCTAATATATACACAATCTTTTCAATAGCCAAATTCAGCATCCTCCATCTGATGTATCTGGGAATGTTTATGTACAGTGGCTGCGAAAATTGATTTCACCCCTCTCCATTCAGTGGCCTATTCAGTAGGTCATGGGCGGTGACATCAATTTTTGCATCCACTTGTACCAGGGCCAGAAAATCAATCCCTGGATACTATATCCGAAGGCTGGTATTACTGAAGGTTACTGCATCTCATGCCATGCCACTACCACTCGACGTTGTTCACACTGTACTGGTGGCTTCTTCTGCACACTAATATGTGAGCAGGAAGATAATCCTGCTGCCATAGAACACAGGATGGGAAAATGTGGTTTGAAAGTCACAACAGCAGAGAGACTTTTAATTGCCTGCATTCGAGATGAGCTTCCTGATGATGAAGAGGTCCTGTCTGATTTTCGATTTAACCATTTTCCTACTACATTGGAGAAGTGTTGCCTTCTTAGGGCTGTACATTGGGTTGCTCAATAAGAACTACTGGGTATCCAACCCAGTGTACTTGACCAGTGGCAAAGGGAAGATGTTCTCTCTCAGAGAATCATCCAGGAGTTTGAATGGCAACTTCAAGAAGGATATAGAGGTCATTATTATCTCTGGTTCAAAGAGAATCTGAATGCTTTTTGATTCTCTTGAGCCATTCAGCCCTTTATTCTTTCTAGAGCGGGCAAGATCATTGCTTCCTTTGGAAGATCAGCATCAAGATTGTAGAGAATTTACTCCAGTTGCAAAGAAGGAGGCATACTTTTTCTATGCCTTTGTTGTCAGTGCTGGACAGCATCCACATCCGCAGATGTCACCATGGCTTGACTTTGGATTCTGCACCTGTCAGAATGAAAGAGAAGAAAGACACCTTGGGGGACTATACCAGCGGCTCCTGGGAACTTTACTCCCTGACTCAATTTCCAGGTTGGGGTTGTTGCCACAGTATTCTCTTCCCCCCAAATGTGGTTTCACTGAATTTTGGACTGCACATGAAGAGGGCTCACTAGTGGACCTTTTCAATAGGTGTGGCTTGGGAAAGGAGCTACACACCTTTCATCATCTTCCTGGCTTTCTTTCTGCACCTGCCTGGAACATGAAGTACTACTCAAGTGGTGGCGGGCCAGTATATCCATCAGTCTGGCTCCTTAAACAATACATTGCTAATGGAAACCCCTGGAATGATAAGTTCCTTCCCTACCCGCTTCAGGTTGACTATGGTTTTCGTAATTGCCCTGGAGCAAACTCAGCCAAAGCTGAATTATTCAAGATTTATGCACATGTTCTTACTCGTGCAGATCCTCTTGAGCTGCACCAAGCCTGTATTCAAGGCCGTTTGTTTGATTTTTGCAGGAAAAGGATGGAGATTGATTCAAGCATGAAACCTATCATGCATAATGAATACCCTTTAAAGAAAGATCCAAAAGGTACCTGGAAATGGAGTGGGATGAGTACACACAATATTATCCTAGTTGGATCATTGGCAGGTATGTATATTGATCTTCTTTGCCTTTTCAATGCTTCATTGTCATTCTGTTTCTACATATAGAGGCACATGTCCAGTGGGCAGTGAAAAATGTAGGAGCTATTGTGCTGGAAGGAGATACTACATTTCAAACATTGAGACCTCGTGAGTTGCGGTCACTGAGAGAAGGAAGAATAAATGGACCACCTACTCCATAGCAGAGAATTTAAGTAGTGTTTTGTGAGATATGTAGTGAAATCCCTATTCCAAAAATTATATTCATTGTCAACAAGAAGTTAGGCCTTCTGTTCAGTCATTGTGTCTTTCAAGTTTCATCATATCTTCCTTAGGGTAATTCTTTTGAGCAACCCCCTTGCTTCAAAGCAATCCCTCTGGAAGTATAGTTTGGCAACCCTGTCACAGTTTTGTACATCTTTTTCGTATACTTCTCCTGCATGTAAGCAAAAGGTTTATAAATGTACTGTACCCTGAAGAATTGAAAATTGAAGAAAAAAGAAACAAATTCAACGCAGCACTGGAACAATATCATGGACACATTCGGATATGAACCGGAGATCTTTTGCAAACAATGGAAGGAAGACCCATGCAAAGTGAACGCGGACGTGAGAAGCCCTAGACCATACGCCCTTGCTACCCTCTGAAACGACATCCATGGGAAGCCACAGCTCCTTCGGTTTCATGAGTCATACTCTAGACATTGATCCAAGCCTGCCTCTCATCTGCTTTTCCTGTCTGTTCTCTTGTTCCTTCGTGAGGGATTAACCGCATCCTGATCCAGGTATCCATACTCTAATACTCCCAGTCGCGGGTGGAAATAGTCATAGTAATTCCGGACAGCCACTCGGAAAAGCGTTCGTATTGACGCACTCTGTTGGGTTGAATTTTACCAAACTAGCGCGCGGAGATCGGGTTCTGGATGGTTTAGTTATGGATGGTTTAGTTATGGAAGAAAGAGAAGGCGGCGAGGAATGAAGACTGTCGTTTCAGGGGAGGTATATGAAGCCGATGAATGCAGAGGATCTAGGTAGAACGGACCTAGTTGTTACTCGAGAGCTGAAAAGCCTCAATCAGACTGTCGACTATACCATACTGCACCATACTGAATGATACATTCGACATTGTCTCCCGGCGAAAAGGAAAATTGTGATATGAGTAGAATAGAAGAAAAAAAAAGACCATTCTGAGCAGCTGGATTTCCCGAGTTCAATCTAGATGTGCGTGCGGCGGTCGGAGAGTCGGAATTGTCGCGTCCGACATACGATGTTTATCCTGTGTAAGGGTCATTGGAATACTCGAGCGAAAAATATACGGATACACACCACTGGATCAGTTTATACCGTTTTAATACCGACCTTCACTACGAGCTTCAATTCGGCATCGCGTAAAGGATTGAAGATTTACCTCCCTCCAATCTTCGGAATAACACACGGAAATCCCGCCGATGATTGCTTCGTTCATATTCTGAGCGCCAAGAGTCAACTGGATTCGAAATATCAGTTGTTAGAAGCAGTAGATAGTGAAGGATAACATCAGAAAGTGAGTAAACATTTATCAAGGGCGACATCGAGCAACTGTGTAATCGTGTCAAAGGACACGGAATCCGCCATGTTTTTTGAAGGGTACCGCGGACGTTGATTTAGATGGGAATTTGGTTGAGTGACTGGTTCGACTGTGAAGCGGTGTTTGGAATTAAAAGCCAGAGAAAAGCAGACGGAAGTTGGGACGGCTGTTTCAGCGCTTCACGAAGCTCGCAAGCGTGGACTTCAAGTCATCCTGCACTCGAAGTTTAAATGGAAGTATTTATATAGAGCCCGCCTTAGCTCAATCGGATAGAGCGTCAGACTTTTATAGCCTGAAAATACAATATAACTGATCTGAAGGCTGCGAGTTCGACCCTCGCGGTGGGCTATTTGAGGCTTTGTAACACACTCCCTGTCCTTTTTTGTCGTCGATTTAATTTGCACTACACATCCTAGAGCGAATCAGCACTTACGATGAAGTTTCGAGATAAGCGCCCGATGACACAAGCAATTGCCGAAATGGGAAGCTGTCATTTTTTTGACCTCGTTGTTTCGTGCTCAACCACGACCGTCTCTATTCTCCTTTGTGAGCAAAGCCAGCGTCTACAGCATCGGAAACATTGCCGTGCTCAATACCACTAGTGTAAACGACCACAGCTTTCGCTCCAGCCTCCCGCGGACCCAAGCAACTCATTCAGCTCTTTCTTTGTTTTTCGTTTCTCCATCTCTGGCACGGTCCTTTCGATTCTGACGCGCCCTGAATACACCTTCCAAGATTGAACGAGTGGCGCTAAAAATTACTGGAAGAAAGGATGGCAGCGATGTTATTCGCGTGCTGTGCGAGAGGGAAAGCAAGAAATAAGCGGGCCCAAAGTCATGTTTACGATCCCCATGTAAGTACGTTCGTTTAGAATTTGCTTTTTTCTTCCTTCCGGATCCATGTTTGGTTGCTCTACCTAACTCTTTATTTGCAGGTAATTCCAGACGAAGAATCGCGTCTTATTCCGACTACTGAGGAGCCTGAGATGTGAGCTGCCAATACCTGTAGCGTTTCTCAATACGACTCACAATTCTTCCTTTTTGTTTTCTTCCTTCCTTGCGAATACCCTTTGCCAATTGTTCCCCGTCTTCTTCGTTGCACTGTTATCGTCCTCGGATTTGCCTCACTTTCGATTTGGCCAACTATTCCTGTCCACTACTCGGGTTACGCGGCATCTTGGTCTAACTCCCAAAGTGCTGTACCAGATACTATCGCCGAGGAACTCGATAAGAGAAAAGCAAGACTTGAAAAGATTGTCAGAGCCAAGCAGGGGTATGCTGTTCGTTCTTATGCGGCCGATATCTAATGCTAATGGTATCTTCTTCCCATTTTCCTTTTATTCCCCGCTGTCTCTTATCTCTCTGCTCGCCTCAGGAACATGATCAACACCTACTCGTATGGTCCATTCTACGCTGGCCGTGGAAGGTCTATCTCCCGGTCCGTCTCTCGAGACCCCTCAGGCTCAGTTGCGCGTTATGGTTACAAATACGGATACGGTGCCGTAGGGCACAACCCTTCCCTTGCACACACCATTTCGATGCCATCACCGCTCGAACCCGAGCCAAGCGAGGTTCGGGTGCAGATTGCTTCGGCAGCAGAGGGAAGGGCGTCTGTTGAGCGGAGCGGATCAGGATCCAGGAAAGGGACGAAGGGAGGAAGTGCTTCCGGCTCTGTAGAACGCACAGGAAACGGAACCGCAGATGCAAGCCGGAGAGGAAGTGAATCGCATACTCCCTACCTCCGACCTTCGCTAGTAATGTCACCCTCATCTTCATCCCTCGCCAAATCAATGACTTCGTCTCGTGAGTCCATGTCGGACTCGCATGGAGGCACAGGTGCAGGCTTGGGTGTGAGAGTCGTGCGTCCTTTGTCTCTGGCTTCTGGGAATATGGATAGACGAGGGAGACCCAAAGTGAAAGCGGGAGGGAGCTTTCCCAGTCCTATTGCCTCGGGGTATACATCGGCAAGCTCTGGAGATGGTGTAGCGCCAGCTGTGCAGAGTGGATTATCCTTGGAGGTAAGATTATATATATTCTCTGTGATCAAGCTTTAAGCTAACCCTTCTTTTCTCTCCCGCGATTTTCTTTTCTTTTTTTTCGTTGATCCACTTCCTCCTGCTCCTGCGTACCTAACCAGCAAACTCCCCGTCCACTAAACGGGTTTCCTAGCGCAACCACACCTTCAACATCTACGCTCACCGCTCCTCCATCGTCACCTCATTCTGAATCTGATCACCTTGGTGACAGCAACCAAAACCAAAACGAACATCCTCCAACTTCAAATCAAGCCGGGAAAAAGACACCACAACCGGTGTTCGAAATCAAGGATGTGGGGGAGTTGACGATCGATTGGGATTAGGGATCGGGGATTGGTTTCGGTTCTTCTCTACTTCCAACTTGCGCGTATGTCCTGGCCCTTCCGTTTGCATCTCTCTACACCCATGTCTTTGTCCTGTTCATTTACATATGGAATTCTGCTCTCGTTGTCGTTGTCATTGCTTTCCCCTTCGTTGTTTTCATAGTTTTCATGGTTGTTTTCGTTTACCTTACCTTACAGGTCGGCGGCTGGTCGTCTTTCATCCTCATCTTTTTAGATAACTTCACGTATACATACATACTTATTATTGACTGTACTCTACATCCAGCACTCATCATCATTACCTATAGGCTATACTCTCTATCATGATATCGATTTATCGTATGCTCTAATCTTATTACTTACAACGACTTGTTACTTACAGTAAAGCGCATTCTTTGCAGACCCGGAATTATGATCTTCTTTTTTCTTTTCACATAATTTAAATTTATTCTTTGCATAACGTTTGTAGTACACATTGTTCTTTGTCCATAGAAAATGTATCTTCTGCTTTCGTGTTACCACTAACTGTTAGAAAAAGAGATTAAGCGCCGACACGTCATTCCCTTTCCACCATGCCATCTAGCTCCAAATCCTAGAGGCCTGTTGGCTTCCACGTCCTAGTGCTATACATCAGTATCGCGTCATGTCCGCCACCATTTCCGGGTGTGTTAGCCCGCCATTCTGAAATCTTCAAATCTAGTCAATGGCAACTCTCTCTTCAAATTGATTCCAATCTCCTTCTGCAGAAACGTAGACGGCGTATTTTGTTATTTTGTCGGGATCCTTCGTGTCCACAAAGTACTTTCAAAATGCCCCCCTCTGGTCCTGAACAATAAATTGTTCAGCTCGAACACCTATGACCTCTAAGGACCCTGCTTGACCTATGTAGCACTTCCCACACTCGTTAATATTTCCCACTCTCCAACTTGAAGTACGTGGACTGCCGAGATGAGACATCATGAGGGTTCGAGAGACAGTGCGTTACCTTCCAGACCTAGATGTTCCTGCAGCTGATGGTTACCATTTCGGTCTACATAGCTTTACTATTGCAGTCTTTTATCCCATTACGGTCGAAACTGCCCCTGGACAGTTTGAGTGGTGCTCATATAAATACACTCAAGGCGTTAAGGGCATGAGTACCCGTGCTATATGCATCGCCTGCCGGACTCGGACGCACCGTATTGTAATACTTACGCTGGTGAGGTACTTACAAATACTTGCTTTATATGTGTCTTTCTAATTTTTTGCGCTCGTCAGTGAGAGTTCAAACATCCAACCCCGGATTTCTCCTTTCGTCCAATTTATTTGCTCTGTAAAGTTCGTAATGCATTTTTGGCTAGCGGGAGCCCCAGAGATGATGTTGTTTGCCACACCGGATGCTCTGGAACCGGCGTTCAGCACTTGGACCATGCCGTGTAATAAACCTTCCTTCCTTTCTTCAAGGCATTTCTCTAAAAAAAAACCTAGGGGACGCTTTGGATATGGGAATCGATTTATTCCTCGATTGCTGATTGTTTCACCCATGAATGCTCAAGAATTCACAGAGTTTTGCGACAATTTTATGTATGACAGCCTATCTACACATCGAAATGGTGCATTCATTTACTTCAACAGCTTTTCTATGCTATTCTATACCCTTCTCCAATATTTCGAGATGCGGCTTTCTTTCGCCATACCCAAGCAGCAAGGACTGCGCACGGCTCCTCTGATGTGAATAATTGTCTCCACGCTCGCAGAGGTTTGCTTTAAATATGCTTCCAGTTCACAATTTCTTTAAGCTTCCCTCTTTCCTTTCAATTTGCAACTGGGAAATCCGCTTGATATCGAAACATGATGCTCAACATGCTTACTCCAGTACTGCTAGCGATAGCTTTCAATCTCGGATCGGTTAACGCTGTAAGTTAATTTTTTTTTTAAATCTCTTTTGTTTCCAACACTATTTTTTCTAAACCTGCTTTACGTAGGCTCCAGCTAGTTCTTCCAGTGTTGAATCGTTCAGCTCTACATTAGTGGCCACGGGTACTGCTGTCACCACAGTCGTGAGCTCGTCGATTCTGGCCACCAGTGTGGCACCGAGCTCGTCGATTCTGGCTACCAGTGTGGCACCAAGCTCGTCGATTTTGGCTACCAGTGTGGCACCAAGCTCATCGATTTTGGCTACCAGTGTGGCACCAAGCTCGTCGATTTTGGCTACCAGTGTGGCACAGAGCTCGACGACTCTGACTACCAGTGTGGCACCAAGCTCGTCGATTTTGGCTACCAGTGTGGCACCGAGCTCGTCGTTCCCGACTACCACAGCTGTGACTCTGAGCTCCTCAGTTGGAATTCCCACTGTTGCGAGCTCGCCGTGCGTCTCCGAGTCGATTCCGGCTACCACTCTGACAACGACTCACGTTACGGGCTCTGCTGTGAGCTCGTCGTTTACGAGCCACGCTACGATGCCACACCACAAATCAAGGCCACACTACGCACCGATTCCGACTGTCACTGTTACAGTGACTGAGGTGGTCACGGATTGTGCAGTGACGAGTTCGTCGTTCAGTTTAATCCCGACTACCACTGGCACTGTTGCAGTTACGAGCTCGTCGTTCAGTTCGATCCCGACTACCACTGGCACTGTTGCAGTTACGAGCTCGTCGTTCAGTGCAATTTCGACTACCACTGGCACTGTTGCAGTTACGAGCTCGTCGTTCAGTGCGATTCCGACTAGCGGTATAGCAGTTACAAGCTCGTCGTTCAGCTCAATTCCGACTACCACTGTGGCAGGCATAAGCTCTTCGGTTTTCACTACCAGTGCCACGGTGGTTAGCGCCAACTAGCGCTGAACATTGGACCCGCAAATAGTATATCTCGCTTAGTGATTGTTGAGTTGCAAGAAGAGTTACGAAGGGTTTTCTTTGCTTCCTATTTTTTTTACCAGTGTGAAGGACAGTCGTTGCATTCAATAATTGAATACATATTTGTGCATATCTAATGTCATAGAATTCTTT